GGATATAGCAACTATTGTGCCCCTAAGTTCTTGTGCAGACACTTCCACCTACTCTCTTACTTCCTTATCTTGCTGAAATTTGCCCACATTTGGATGCTGAGTGCTGTATGTCATGCTGTGGTTTTCTGTAACCAAAACTCCCCAAGCACACATGCCCAGACTTGCAAGAAGGATGAGAAATACGTGTTGTGCAAAGAATTAGGAAAACCTGTCCCAGCCTTGCTAGTGGCATAAAGGCTTTACCATTACATCTACATCCATAGGTTTCTCTTCCATGTTGGTCCTACAGTCACTGGCTCTACTTTTCCTAAGCCTTGCTCATTAATGAGGATTACCAAATTTACATTTCTTCAGCAGGCTAAGGACAGGGGACATAAGTTCTAGAGACACAAAGGGGTCATTCAGTCCTGGAGTGCTCCCTGGTTTTGCCAGAGAACAGACAAAAGTGTCAAGAAACAAGAGTGTAAAAGTAGCAGAGAAATGAGGGGAAGGCCAGTCTTATCTTTCTTCCTTGGAGAACCTCCCTAAAAAAGAAAAAGAAAAGGCAGAAAGTCATGGCGGTTCTATTGCTATAAAGAAAGAAGCCAGGATCTGCACAGCCCTGAGATACCCTGGTAAACAAGCTTGGATTTGACAGACTCCTCTTAAACAGTACAAATTCAATTGCTACATGGATTTAAAACACTGAAAGATGAAGATTTTGTTTACTGCAAATACTTTTTTATGTACCCTAATGCCCAAAAGTAAAATAGAGGCTGGATTTATTCTGAGACATGGTCAGGAATTTTAAAATGGGTGTTTGTACACACAAACAAAGGGAGCATGGGAAACAAGAGATTGTGAGTTACTTAAATGTCAAGGATTACATTGTACCAGGTAAGACTGAAATGTAGCACAGGGACTCAGTTTCATAAATTAAATGTCATTGCTGATGGGTACAAATTATATAAGAAAGATGGAAAGGAAAACCGAGGTGGCACTTTGTCAGATGCATTTACAGCTGCAGCAAGACACATTTCAGCTGCAAAGTAATTTAAAACAAAACAAAACAAAACCTAACAAAACAACAACAACAAAAAACCTCAAACAACTAAAGTGGACATCTGCTGCAGCCTACTCCAGCAGCAAGAAAGCAGGAATGAATTAGTCTCTCTTAAGGTACTCAAAGCCACAAAACACTGAACTCATGAGGAATTTAGCTGCCCACATTTCTTTTAACAAATACCACCAAACACTCACCAAAGAAGTTCACGAGTTACACAGAAACCTACTCTAATCCAGACAGTACAGGTTCTTGACAAATAAACAACGAAAATGTCCCCAATCCAGGAACTGTAGCAGAGAAATTAAAAGGACACCATGAACACAGTATCTAAATGTAACACAGTATAGAGTTTATTTGTTTGACTTAGAAAAGGTCTCCCACATAATTAACTGGACACATATACATTAAATATACAAACTTATACCAAAAGAAACACAGAAGGCACACATTCAGCCAAGTGGCTCTTTCTGAACCACTCACCATTGCAGGCCAGAATGACAGAGCCATGAGCCCCAGCTTCGTTACTTTCTGTCCAAAACCAGGACCACAGCTGTAGGCCCCATGGTGCTCCACACAGACCAGCCAAAGAGGGAAAGAGATCCAGAGGACAGGCGTCCTCTTGGGATTGTGCATGGTAAAGGTAGAGATGCCAAAGAGAGCTAATCTGGCTCTTTTGAGTAGCAACAGAACCATTCCCATCTTTCCCACCCCCTTGGGAGGTTGGTGACTTGATTACAAGAGGGGACATCTTGGGCAAGCACCAAATGACAGCTTATTTGAATACTGCTGTACCTTCAACCTCTGCTGGCAGACTTCCAACACAATTCCTAAGCACTGCTCTTTGCCCCTGTGACCCCCAGCACCACCAACCACATTTTATCTGGAGAGCAAGAGAGGTTCATTTTACAGGTCACAGCCCCAGGTTTCTAGCACTCATCAAGAACCACGATCAGCAAAAACTAGTCAAAATAAATGTGGTCACCTCACAGAGACTCACTTCTGTTGCCATAGGAGCAGGTAAATAGCTCAACTTCAGCAGATTTTATCTTCAGGGAAAAACTAGTTCCACCAGAGCCTGAAACCTCCACTCTGGATCAACAAGGCTGTGTGCATCCTCAGTCATGCTGAGTTTAGGGAGCAGATTTATGTAATGCAAAAAAGCAAGTCTGTTCTCTCAAATTAAGTAATTAAGCAGTGTGTGATAAGCCTAAGGAATTCTACTAGACCCCGGAGTCAAGGCATGAGACTGATTTCCATGGAAAGAATCTGAAAACAAGTGAACATTACCTTTCAGGAACTGGTGTGGCAACCAAGAAGACAAGCAGATGAGAGACTTTCTCTGGAAAGGATATCCTGTTAGTTGACAGGTTAAAAAAAAGAGCTCTGACATCCACCATAGGGAAGAGAAAGTAAAGCACACTAATGCGTAAGCGCAGAAGGAAAGGAAGGACAAGTGAAATCAGCCTCCTGGACTATTTGTGAAGTCACCCAGGATGAAGCAACAAGGAGATAAAGGACTTCCTGGAAAACCTGACCATATATATCAACATGGTGCTAATTAGTTAATTAACCTATTGCACAATTAAAAAAATAAATATTTTAAAAGCCTAGGAGGAAAAGGAAGCACCAGATGACACTGCTCTTTTCAGAACAAAAAGCCTAATAAACAACAGCCTAATAAATTTATGTCTGATCTTTGCTAACAAGTGAAATAAATACAAGGAGAGAAAAAAAGTCTCCCAAACGTCTTCAGAGTGGTAACCAAAGTATGGCAAAATCATGCCACTTTCAAGAATCCTGCAAACACAGTGAGTAGCTTTATGCACATGAGCTACACACGTGAAGCCAACAGGATAACTCAGCTATCACATCACTTCTACGTGCAAGTGGTGGTGTCATTTCCAACACCTCTTTTTTTTCCCATTACCAGGAACAATTTTATGAAACACTGCTCATAATATGAGCTGACAGACCTAGCTGTAAAGCTACAGCTCATTCCCAGAAGGCTATATAGAATATATTATATAGACTAGCAAGCATTTAACCCATGGAGGATGAGTATTTTTAACAGAGGGCAGAATACCTTTGGTATTTTACCATCTCAAGACATTCTGCAGGGTAAATAGAGTAAAATGGCCCTGCTTGCCATTCAAATTAAATATACTTCAAGGAAAGGTAATTAATCAATCAGTGAATCAATCAATTGCATTTTACCATCAGCTACAGACAGCTGTTGGAGTGTAACAACCTCTACTGCATCCCAGCACCTGAAAGAGTCTTTCAATCAGCTGCTTCTGGGCTGGGAGTGCATCAATTGCCTTTGCTGTGAATTTGTTGTGCAGCTAAAAACCCAGATGGTTTCTCTAAACAAAAAGCAAGAAAACTAAACCTGTGTTTTTCTGATGTTTAAATATTTTTTGGCAAGTAGGCATGTTAGTTTTCGGGTCTCTTCTAATAGCTAGGATGTAATTTTTTTAGGTATCACAAGAGGATTTACTTATGACAGCAGGATATGTAATTTAAATAGCAAGAAAGCAGAGTGAAATGTCAATCTGCCCACTGTAGAGACAAAAACAATCTGTTTATCCACTCTGTTAGTGAGCAGAAGTGGAAAAATGATAGTGAACAAGAGGACAGAAATGCCAGTCAGATCCCATAGTAGCTAGGAGGTAGTCATCAAGGAAACCATTAAAACAGCCTGACAACAGTTCTTTTTTTGTACATGCATTGAATTTAGGGCTTGGTACCACAGAACACTTTAGAGGCCAAAAGTAAAAAAGGATTTTTAGAAAAGGACAAGTAAATTCATTAAGACCAGGTCCACAAGGAACTGCCAGAAAGCTGAGAAAGTCCATAGACTGCTAGACTGGTGTCAGAGAAAGACCTCTGTATATACAAGCCTTGTATTTTATGCTTCTGTGATCACCTGTTACAGGCTATTCTCAGAGGCAGAACAGCAGATCAGATGGCCTTTGGTCTGATTGCACACAATACTTCTTATGGATCAAAGCTCTCAATTTTAGAATGATTTAAATTCTGGAAAGGTCAACTTAAAAAAAAAGGGTATTTGAAAAGCTTGAAAAGCTTGCATGCCTCCTCTGCTTCCTCTTTCAACCCTCAAAGATGTGCTCCTTAATCATTCAGTTTCCATGAACGGTAAAAGTATTGCTGCATTAGCAATAACGAGGATTTGACCACAGCCCCTAAAGTCTGTGTTATTGCTCCCTGCTCAGGCCCCTTATCAGGCATTTCTCCTGACCCAGTCCCAAGTGTATGTTAAACATTGCCCTATATTCCATTTTTCCTCTTTGCCACATTCTTGCTAAATCACTTTGTTCGACTGCTACATCTATGAGGTGAAACAGTTCCGATACTGCTCTGTAGGCTACTGTTGGCTAAACCCTTCTCCTGCCTGGGCCAGTGACAACAGGAATCTACAGGAAGACTCCTTATGGACAAAGGATTGCTCCACTGTCTGTAAACATCCTTATTTCACCCAGAATTTGCCACTTCAATTGGATTCGGCCTTACAGCTAGTCGGATCAATACATTTTTGCAGTGCAGTAGAGTAAACAATGCAACACAGTGATTCCAAGTCTGCAGCCAGACAGACTGAAGTAGCAGCACAAGTAAGTCAGAAAATCTCCTGCATTTCTCTGGGCACAGAGCAAGCTCTGAGACCAGTCATCACAGTTGTTTTTATATACAAAATATGTGTGCACATAGACATATGGACTAATACATTCATCACTAACCCTCATTTAAGGGACCAGCTATCCAAAGTCTGCTCATCACCCAGTAAATGTGCTTTAGTCAGGGGTGCCAGATGCATCCAGGACCTGCAGTGGCTTTACAGATCACTGCATGAGGATATGGCTGTAGGTTCAAAATCAATCAAGAAGTTACTGTTGCAGCTTGTGATTCAGTCTTTAGTTCTCCAGACAATCCTTCCCAATCAAGATAATACGCAGGTAGATTGTTTGTTTTTATCGCTCATAGTGGAGTTTGGATTCAGGTTACCTGGAAGGAAAAGAAGTTAAAGTAGTGTTAATGTCAAGTAAATAAGCCCTGGATAAAGTTTGGACTCGTGCTTCACTCTCACTTTTCACTATGCACCTTGTGTTAGACCTACGTTATTCTGCACTCTCTCATGGCTTTTTTTCTGCTACAGTGAAATGAAGAAACATTAAAATAAGATCAAATGCAGAGTATATTGTAGAGAAAACCACTGGAGAAGTATTTCTAGGCTTTGGCTTGTACCCAGTCCAGCTTCATTAGGTCCCAGCTGGCACTGATAAATAGTCTGGTCATGCCTTGGGTGAGAAGTTTTCCAAAGAGTGAGGTATGGAAAAAAACCCTGAAAACCCAAGGTCATCTCATTCATTTGATACCCACACACATTCTCAGTAGAGGTTTTTTTTCACATTTTGTTTCAAACATCTCTAGTGCCAGTGTTTCCACCACTGCCTTTGCAAGACAAATCCCAAGGCCTCAAGGTCTCTCACTAAAGTGGCAGAGTATGCTGCCTCCAGTTTTTTATAATCCTAGGTTTTTTCACTGCTTACTCTATGAATTTCTTCTGCTCCCAGTATCTTTCAATGCTTGCACTTCTGTCTGGTGTCCATCATTACAGCCAGATGTTGATCTGGATGCCCCAGCATATCTGTTTCAAGCACTGTACAGAAGTGTGTTCAGTACTGTGAGTAAGGCAAGTAAGGGAGCTCATCTGAGCTCAGTAAATCTTGCATGACTCTGGCCCAGGACAGCAGGGACTGACAGGGGCTGCCACGTGGCTTGGAATCACTCTGAACACAGGCAGGCCCCACTCATGTATTTGTACAGAAGGAAGGTACATGTGCATCTCCCAAGCACTTGGAGCCAGATGCCAGTTCAGAGTGAAAACAGAGAGTGAAAACTGCCACAGGTCATGGTGACATGCTACTGAGAAGTCTCAGTCTTGCTAAGTTTAGGGAGCATTAAACTCAAGCACTGCCTCTGCACTGGGCTTCAAGTGAATAATTTTTAATGTCACTCTCTTGCCTGAAGGGTATCTGATCAATGCTGCCCTTACCTGTAGGTGATGAGGAAGAGAAGAGCTCTCTTTTCTCCCCCTCCTTCTCTCCACTTTTTTCCACACTGCATCTTCTTGATGTTCACCTGGGAGGTTGCACTGCACCCTGCCCTCACTTCCGTGGCTGCTCTGTGTGCTACTGCCTCCTCCCCACAGCTCCCTGTAGCATTTCATTCTACCTGTCCCCCTCTGACATATCCTGCATGTTAGTGTTATCATTACTCCTATCTCCTCCCCACCCCTCTTTCCTTCCCTGTCTGTATCACATTCAAGACCCTCATGCTTTTTTTGAAATATCTGTGCTTCTCTGCTTAATTTCAACTCCCAGCCCTTTTCTTCTTGTCACTTTCTACTCTTGTCTTCTGACCTTTTTCTACATATCCCACTACAGTTAGAGCAAACATCCTCCTTTTATGTACCAAACAATGTTTCCCTCTTTCTCTCTTTAGAAAAGAGGCTGAAAATTCCAGTTACCACCCTTCCATGATCTCACTTTGGCTGAAAAACGCTGGTGATAACCAAGCAGCTATTTTAATGCTTTTGCAGTGCCCAGTGTAAATTGCATTTTTTGTTGCAAGAAGCACACAAAACTGAAACACAAAATCCTTCTACTAAGGATTTTGTGCTCATGAGGTGATGATGTTGATGCATGGAGCACCTCAGGGCAGCAGACCCTTCTGAACAAGCCCACTTTGCTTCTTCCAAGGAGAACACTAACTAAAAAGTCTGCACCTTCTGAAGGCACACAGCTTTCAGACTTTTGCAGTGTTTCCCAGAAACTGTACACAAAAGTCACTGTCTCTGCTGACCACAGTCTGCCCAGCACCAGCTTAAAATTAACAAGATTCTGGTCAGGTTCAGAGCTGCTCTTATGTTCCTCAGCAGGCAACAGTGAAATCCAGTGAAATTCTGATAACTTCATGATATGGTTTGAGAAAACCTTTTAAGACAATGTACAACTTGCCATGTGCTAGGACAACACTTCAGGGTGTTAATTCAGATACTTAGTTTGGGACATTACTTTCTATCTGGAGCCCTTGTATTTTCCAGACTCCCAATTCTGACTCATAGGAATCCTCTTCTAGCCTGTAAAAGCTGCATCAGATTTTCAGACTCCATCACAGCACACACTTCCATCATTTCCCTTCCCAGCTCAGATTCTCTTCATCACCATTTGCTCCTACAAGACTGAATCTGACTTTTAGCCGGCTTGAATAGTGTCTTTCAACTACTCTATGAGCTACTTGGGTGTGGATCTGGTCTCTCCATGCATTTGCAAGGTGGGATGTGTCTCTGTGGTGCTAAAGAATTAATAGTGACTTTGGAGGATGTGTGCACAGGCAGGCCCATGGGGCTTAAGTGTGCTGTTTAATCTTTACAAAAGCTAAGGGCAGCTATTTCAAACTGTGAAGCTCTGAATAATTGCATCCTAACCTGCCCGCATACCAAGTACCCTCTCTTTCATTTCCACTTCTTACCTCCCTTCTGTCACCTAGAATATCACAGCACCAGTTTTTACTAGTTTTGCTCAAAGTTTTGCTTAAACTTTTAAACCTAAGTCAGCCCTAAAGTTACCCAAGAACAAAGTGTCTTCTATCTTTATACTGAGGCTGGGATTCTATTCCATGGCTGTGTTTAAGAATTTTTTATTAAATCCTTTTCTGTTCCTCATGAGTCTCCATCTATCTAATCTGCCCTCTACCATCTCTGTTCACATGCCACTTTGGGACTATTAGACTAGAGAAGTGTTCTCTCACAAGAAGGTAATTTATTTAAAAAGCAACTCACAATCCATGATCTTCCTTCAGCCTTTGATGACACCAGATGGACAAAGTCTACTTACACCCTACTTCAAAAGCTATGGAGTCTCCCAGTGTCACCATGAACAGGCATTCTCAATTTGCATAAACCAAAAATACTAGCAAGGACTCCCTGGAAAGATTTATCAGGTCAGAAAAAGTACAGGGGGAAGACTGGTGTGCTGGACCTCAGCATCTTCCCTGGACCTGTTCTCAATTCTTCCTTCCCCCTTACTGAAAGAGTTGGCAGTCTGCAGGAAGTAACAGTGGCAATAAATAAAACCTGAACATAATAGCATGGTAATGTATTTGTGGAAATGGTCTAGACCAAGCATCAGACTGTCTGGCACAGAGCCACTGTTTTAGGAGGAACAGGGACATCCCTGCTGCCTGGATGGTGCAATGCCCCAGCAGGGTGCAGTGCCCCACTGTCCAGCCAAAGACATCAACCTCTCGTGCCTTAAGCTGGGCCTGATTTCATCAGGACATTGTGGGAAGGCCAGGCTGGCTGCTTTGAAACAGGTGACAGTGACTATCTCTGATATGCAAAGTGCTGATGAATCAGAGATTCTCTCCTTCTGTCACTAGAGGGTAGTGCAAGCACTCAGCTCCATTCCTGCGAGTGGAAATGCCCATACATCTCCCCACAGGTCTTCACCGATTTTGCTTTTCCTGGCTCTGAGGAATGGGGCCCACCAGCACATAATGTCTGTGCTCAAGACTTACTTGGAGAGAGGATCTCTTTAGACCAGGGTTTACTTCTACCTCCCCAAATGCAGATTCTAAAATGGATCTACTACAGTCTTAAATAAATTAACCATTCCTTCTTATAATTCCTCTTGTGTTCATTTGGTATTTTTGAGTCTGTCCTTCATTTAGCCAGAAATATTTCCAGGAACCTAATTATTCATTGTTGTTGACCATCTCAATTCCTTGCTTTTCTTCTTGGTCCCAAAAGAACATCTTTCCATTTCACATCATGGTAACTGCAAAGCAATTCAGTCTCTCTACATCTGCATTTTGCATTCATCAGAGCACTGGCCAGACAAGTGGAGGATAAATTTTCTCCTTGAAATTAGTTTATTTTCCTAATGGCGCAGGAGGTATTGACACCCAAAACAGCTCACTGAGAGGAAGACAACCAGGATGACAACCAAAGATTTACTTCAATCTCACAAAACATGTAAAATGTTGGGGAGTTAGCCATGAACCCATAACCCATTAGAAATCTTTATCATTTGTGTCTTCAACTGACTGAAGCCTTTGAAGGACCTAATGAAAATATCAATCATGCATTAGCAAAGAAAGAAAAGTTGAGATCTAGTGACCTACTTCTTTGTAGCTTCTATTTTCATGACCTTCTCCTCCATTTCAGAAGGTGGCAAAGGAGCAAATTAAAAAGACTTGCACCCTTTCCTTCAATCCTTGTGCCCTCACCTCAACATAAACACATTTTCCTCTTTTCTCCACCAGGAATTTGTCACAGGAAATATACCTGCCTAAACTCTAATGAGGAAAGGAAGGAATTACACTGAAAATCTGTCTGTGGCCTGCTAGCCACTACCATAGAAAACACAGTGCTGCTGTTTATTAGGCAAATGCACTTCATGGACTGAGCACTGTTTTACACAAGGCAATGTTCACCTTTCTCTCCCTTTGCTGCTCAAAAGTATGAGAAACATCCACATGAGAAGTACCAACCTTACAGTAAGACTGCCATTAAATTGCTTCAAACTTATATTGCATGTATCTTTTGATACAACTTCTACCCTTTGTTTTTGCTCATTTTGATTCAGAATGACAGGATCTACTCACAGGTGCCTATAGTGGGTATGCTTGCATCAATCAGCCAAGCTCAGAGCAAGGGACACAGAAAGCAGAGTATGCTGTAAAAGGTTTTACCTGAGTTGCCTCCAGTGCTCCGAACACTAGCATGGCCAATGCTGAGCCTCTCATATTCCAGTTTCATGTTCCCAAGGTCTTCTCCTGAATGTCCTTCACTGGCAAAAGAATTCGCCTCGATGCTTGAGCCTGGAGAGCGCTTAGCCTTGCGACTGAAAAGCCCACTGGCAAACCGCTTCCCTTGCTTTGCATTGCTCTGTGCATCTTCCTTCTTTATGTCACGAATGGACTCTCTGGATTTGGATTTATTTTTCAGGTCCATGTGGAGCCGGGACAACAGTTTCTGGGGGCTCCGATTCAGCTTGTTCAAGTTCTCCAGAGGTGGATCTATTTCTGGGAACACTTGCTCCAATGTGACTAAGTCATTCAGGAACTGATTTAACCGTTTCTTTGACTCACTTGTTTCCTCCTTTTCCATGTTTCCCTGATGGTCTTGCCTGTGCCGTGAAGCCCAGAGCATCATATCACCACGGGTTGCCCCTGCTACTAAACCATACTTTGGGTTAATGAACTTCCGAGCCACGGTGGAGGAATGAAAGCCTGGCTTCCCAATTCCATGGAGGAATGGGTTAGCAATGCCCAGTTCCTTGTATAAATTAACTTCCTCTGAGATGGCATAGAGCTCACGAAACTCAATGTCAAACATCTCCACGTGCTGTCCTGTCAAGACTAGCAGGATGTTTCTGTCAATGTGAGATGAAGTCCATGTGAAGCTAAGAGGAGGGAACAGAACCGACATTAGATTTTGGGGTGCATACTTGACCCAGCCCACCTAAAAAAACCTAAGACACTACAGGGGAATATGTAGCATTATGCCATTTGCCATTATGCCATTTGCCAGATGGGCCCCAATAGGTACATGACACAACATTATTGTTCTTCTTTAGACATGTAGACCAGATTTGGGAGAAAAGGCCCTGAAACTCTAAAGGACCCTTTTAAAAAAGCAGCACTGAATCAACAGGAAGAGTCTCCGGACTGAAAACCTCACTGAAGAGAACTGAGTACAGGGACTGGTGGGGAGTTCTTGTAGACCCCTTCCTGGTGCAGGGTGGGACTGTCTCTAGCCCTCTGAAAAGGTCTGCCAGCATGGGTATGTTCCATTCTCTGAAGAAGGGCTCCATGCCACCTTCTCTGTTGTCCCACTCCAGTTTCTACAGATGCCACACAGATTACAGAAGCTGGGACAGAAGGGGGGTGACAAGTGAAGAAGACTCTCAAGCAAAGTAATGACCATTCTTTAGATTAATGCCTTAAACAAGAGTAACCCACCTGTACGATCCAGTGGCCACCTTTTCACCATCCACCATCAGGAATCGGGATGCCAGTGTGCCTTTGATCTTCCCTGATGGCATGTAGAACCCAACTCCTGTCACAGAGCGTATGCGGACATTCTAACAGGGAGGTGAAAAGACAAAATGTCACAATAAATAGGGCAGAAAATTACATAATTGCCAGCTCCAAGTGTTAAGATGTCACTCACATTGTCTCACTACTTCTGGGACTACAGCTCATTTTGTATCAGCCACCAGAAGGGCTGCAAAGCAAAGCATAGTGCTGTAAGCCCTGTTGTCATCTCCTGTCTACACAGGTCACTCCTCTCCATCTTGGACAGTTTATAGCTGTCCAAGGGGTCAGCATCATCAGAACCCTGCCTGCTGTCTTCAGCTATTCACTTGAGCCACTGGCAAGACAATGCTTTCAGATAAGTGTCTCTACTAATGTCCTAAATAGATCAGCAAAGAAAAATTTCTGAAGATGAGGAAGGAGAATCTTTTCATAAAATGAATGGAAGTAGTTAGAAAGAGAATACTTCTCCCCAAACCTCACATCTCACACCCTTTTGTCAACAAACCTACAAGTAATGAAACAAAGCACTACCAGACACAGAAAAACCACAAAGTTAGGGTTACATGATTTTCAACAATAGATGAGTGCCTGTGCATACTATAAGGATATATTTGCACACTGGACTGAGTGTTACTCTGCTCATGGGTCCTGGCTGCACAAGGCTGAACTCCCAAAGTGTCTAACATGAAACATTCCCCCTCTCCTCCCCCCAAATCCAAAAACATTGAATGTCAGTATAAGTTTGGAGCAAATTATCCTGTCACTCTGACACACAAATCTAGACAATTTTCCTCATTCCACCATATTTTTATGTAAGGATTCCTTAAGAATGAAAAGCTAAAAGCACTGTGAACTGGAGTCATAAATCCAGGGTTGGGAGTCAGATAGTCCCAGGCATAATTGCAGTTCTGATACTGCTCCCTGTGATGTTCTGGGAAAGTCAATTCACCTTTGTTTCATTCTTCCCCATCTGCAGAGCAGAAAAATCAGGAGGATTTGGCTAATGCTAGCACAGCCTCAGATCCCACAAAGAGCTAAGTCCTATTACTATAAACCTCACCGACAGCTTAAATACTGGTAGGCTATAGAAATCAGCATGCAGGAATGAGTGATTATAAGAATGCAGATTTCTTTCAAAAGCTGTTTTTTCTGAATACAACTCCTGCCTTTTGAAACTGCTGCTATTTCCCCAACTAGAATACAGCAGTGGAAATACAAATTCTGACTAACAGTAACTGATGATAGCTCTGTTTTGCATTCAGCTGTTGCTTGATCTGTCTGGAGTCCTGTGTGGGCATTAGCTAATTAATGCTCCCAACACTGCTGAAAGTATTATTACCCCATTTTAAAGATGAGTAGCCTAAGACAGAAAAAGATGAAGTGGCTTGCCCAAGGCCTAGCAATGAGTCATATGTATGGGATGCTGAAGACAGGTTGGGTAGAGCACAGGAGAAATGGTGCCCTTTCCAATAATTAAAATAACATTTGAATTTGGCTGAATTATATTTTTCCTTGCTGATTAATGTTGGATGTGGGATTTGCCAAATCATGCTTTGCTGACTGCACAAGACAAGAAGTCAGTCAACAGCTCTGATGTGATATGTACTCCTTTGAATCAAGAAGTATCAGCCTGTGTGAGCAGAAAGTTTCCCAGCATATAACAGCGTGGATCTTATTGTGCTTGTATGCTCTATCACCTTCTTTGGGTGAAAAGAAAGCACACTTGAATTTCTGCAGTAAGTGAGCTGTGTGTAACACTTAGAAAGGCACAGAGGGGATAGAACTGAACAGCTGAGCACATAAACCTCCTTGAATAAAATAGGTACAGGAGTGCATTAATACATCTTGAAATGCAGAAAACAAGCAGAAAGTCATATAAACATCAAGTCACTTAACAGGTTATTTGTATACAATTTTCTGCCTTGAAGGATCTTGGAACATTTGTAGGCTAAGTCAAGCTACAGAGGAAGAACATGTACCAAAGACTGCACAATAACAAAAGAGGAGAGACAAATATAAATGAAGTGAGATTGCAGGCATTTTCAGACGGCACTAGAGTTACAGTAGTAACAAATATTTTGACTAGAGGACCAGTTAGCTCACCAGATAGAAGTGACACCTCCAGATCTGTATTGTTGCAGAAGCCTGCTTAAGGTTTGTTCTGTAATATTCTGGCTTATGGGAGATGCAGTCTGCATTAAATTTCTATATTTCCTTTCCACAGACTTGCACCACTCCTCACCACAAGCAATGACTAACATCTCCCTGGCTACAACTCAATATGACTGGTAACAGTCAAGCCTGACAGAGCATCCTAATACAAATAGTAAGAAACTGGTCTTCCTTGCTTTATTGTGACACTTTTAAACCTCACTCTGAATCCACAGAAAGCTAAATAAGACCCAATTTAGAAAGTCAGTAATGCTGTGACTGATTTGACAGACCTAGGCCGTAGTGCTTACAAACTGGGGCTGAGAAGGGGAATACACAAGACAGACCCTAAAGGGAGGTGTTGTAACTGCTTCTACCAGAGAATCCTATGTGCACCTTCCCTCTTAGAACTGGGAAATCCTCTCTTTGCCCTGGACAGTTTTGGAAAGGGCATGGTTACTGACAAAATAGTGTAACTTGCAAGTATTCAGGTAGAACAGGATGGAATGCAGCTAGCTGGGACATGGTCTGCCAAGATAATTACTGAGTATTATCTGTATCTTTACAAAAAGAGAGCCTTGCAAGCCCCCATCTCAGAAGGTCACAAGTAGTCTAGAAGAATACTCCAGCAGACCATTAAAAAACCAACAGCACTGCTTCACATCACATTCCACCCCTCCCTCATCTCAGGTAGGAGTCAATGACAAAACCCATAAATTATCGAAATGAAATTACATAAGTTTCTTAGGCAGAAGCTTTTTAGACTTTCTGAAGTGAAAGGAAAAATTTCTTACATGTTAGGAAAATTAATGTAAAAATTAATGTGAAGGTGAACTTCCTGCAGATAAATCATTCCCTTGGAACTCTAGGAGAATTCTCTGTCTTTGGGCAGGAGTGTCTGTTACTGTGGTTGGAGTTAACAGAAACATGAAGACAAAAACCACCTATCTAAAATCTGGTGAGAACATTCACCCTCAGGTCCTGCAAAAAGAGGAATTTCTGAGGGGCTATGAATTTAGTATCTATGAGAACTCTGATTCACTGTGATCTCTGTAGAACACTCTTGTGTCAACATAACAGAAGTCTGACAAACTATGTCCTGTAGGCTCAGGAAGCCATATGACTCACACACACAAGACATGCTCTTATGAACAACCCATGAATGTTCTGATGATTGAATTTAAATACATTTCTGGTGAACTCTGGCCTTCAGACAAAAATAGAGGTTTTCTCATTTCATGCTTGGAGTTGGTTAAGAACTTTTACTCTTTGTAGGGTGAGGTATGGTCTTCCTACAGCAGTTTCCCTCCCATGAGACTGTCAGCAGATCATGATACCTTGCCATCTCTACAAAAAGAATACAATAGCCAGGAATTTTGTGAAAATGTCCATCGCTGTGCATAGACAAAGGGCAAAACCCAGTGTTAACTGTAAACCTCCCTGTATTAGGACTGTTAAGTATTCACTTTGCATTGGATGAACATGGCAATGGGACCAAAAGGGCGGAAAACACAGAACAAAATGAGTATCTGCTGGTGACAGAAAACAGAATAAACATTGTGACACTGCAGTTCACAGTAGTGCATCATCTCTCTCCCCCTGGGATCAGAACTTGTCTCTAAACCTTAGAGTTATATCTCATGTGGCTGCAACTTCCTGAGAAAAGAAGCCATCCTCTGTACCTCGCACATGCATTGCCAAGGGAAGGTGGGCAGAAGGGCAGGAAAGAAGAGTATGCAACTCCTTTGCTGGCAAACTATGTCTGGTGAAAACTGGTAAAAATCTTCTAGACTAAAGCAAAATGGTAATTCAAAAAGGAGAAAACATTTTCCCTGTTGCTAAAAATCAGTAAAAGAAACTCAGACATCAAAGCAGATATCAGGAGAAAGACAGTAGATAAGAAATGGGTGAAAGAAAGTTTCCTCAGCGATTTCAGTATCTTCTGCAATCAAACAATATGGGACAAAATGATTCTGCTGAACAAGACTGGAGATCCAGCTTGCTTTCTTGCTTTAAATCTGGATCTTCAACCCTTGGCACATTACAGAAGAAGGGATGGAAGGAGTCCTCAAGGGGAAACCTTAACCTTCTGGAGCTTCCTGGGGTATCCAAAGCCTGTTGCCAGGGAAATCCCTACATGATGGTTTCTGCTACACTGACCCAGCAGCAGCATAGGCATGTCCAAGGTAGCTCTGGGTGAGATACTAAGAGAACATCTTCCTTGAGAGGCAAATGACTTGTTTCCCCATTCCATGAAGAATCTCCCTGGTCATTCCATAGAACCATATACAGGAATTAACTGTGTTGGCTTTAACAAGACTAAAAAAATACCTAAGCCATATTGGAAAAAAAGATAACAACCTTCAGGGGAATTTAAGATCCAGTATGAGATACCTGGGAAAAGAGGGGGAAAATTTGAAGGATAGCAATCTGTGGGCTGAAGCTTTGCAGAATAGTGATCAACTAGGTCAAAAGTTGTTAAGAATTTCTTCTCAGTGGACTTGCTTCTACTCAGCTTGTACTATTTTTAGCTGAAGATGTCTAAAGAAAAACATAGCACGGGCTGCCATGAAGAATGGAATCATAGAAGGGACACAGAAACATTTTCTCCTTCTTTTGATTGCATCAGTTCAAACTGCACCTCCTTAGAGAGAGCCATACAACTAGACTGCTGCAGGACCTACGTATTGCTGTAGCGCATCACTGGGATCACTGGTTTAGGAGTGTCAAGCCTGTGTAGAAGGATAAGAGGATGAGCAGAAGGGGTCTGCTTTAGAGACAGAAAAAACAGACTGAAAGGAACTCACCTCTCCAATAGCAACACAGCTCTTTCTAAAATCCCAGGACATCTTTTCATTCCCTCTGTCCAGGAGTTAAAATATTGTAGTGCTGAAGACATCATTGCTGTACATGATGACAGAGTAAGAAAAGTACTGGGAAACTGGTACCAGAGCAGATGGAACTACTGCTGTGATTTCACAGTTATGTACCAAAGAGACACAAGCCTAGGAGACACAATACCACTGGCACTTGAAACGTGTCTGTTATAATGAGGTCTGTGTCTTGCTTTCAAAGACACCAGAGGGAAGGAACTTCCACCACTGTTTTGGAAAAAAAGGGAAAACTTCTCAGCTGGATGTCTTTTTTGATGAAACTCAGAGCAGAGTGGTAGTTCACAGGAGAACTCTTCAGATATATGCAGGTAATTTTCATTCAGATTTAAGATGGTTCCCCTAAAAGGATTAAGATGAGACTCTATAATCTTCAGAGCTTTTTGAGTTTTGGGGTTTTTTTTTATAAATTGAGTGTTTAAGGAAAATCCACCCCTCTTCCAGGCAAAACGCACTTTTTCCACCGCTGCTGTACAGAACAATTTGATCACAAATGGGTGAGTCTGGCATCCCATAGGTTGTTTCCAACCCAGCAACTTTTTTCAGGATTTAGAACAAGTCTGTAGTAGCAACAGTGGCTAAAAAGATGGGGGGAAAAGGAAAGAATACAATACTAACAAGAAATACACAAAGGATTTCAGTCTGTATGTAATGGAGTGAGATCTCTCTCAGGCTGCTTCTGCCAGCCAAGCTAGACTGACTACTCTGCTATGCTGCATGCACTATATGAAGGCACACTGTGGCACTCAATCCCTTAAATTCTCCTTTAAGTCGTCCTAGAGGAGGACTACAAGCTCATTCACTCCGATGATCACTGTTGGGAAGGAAAGTCTTGATTTTCACAGAATGTATGTGTCCTGTAAGAGGGATCCATGCAGACAACTCCAAGACCTGTCTGGAACTCTAGTTTGAATTCTAGTTTGAATCCTCACATAGAAGACCTATAGCAATTTTCTCTGATAATTTTCTCCCCAGACAGGAATTTTTAGGTTATAAGTGCCAAAAACTACACAGATCCCTGTCTTGGGTGAAAGGCAAAAAAACCCAAATCTTTCCTTTTTCTTTCCTTCTGTATTATAAAGCCACACTGTTATCCCTCTGTGTTCCATCACTTTTAGTGTTGTGGTATGGAGGAAGAGATGTGTTTGCCGGTCAAAGCAAGTTCCAAGATTCACTCCAACTGCAAAAGGCCAGTGACCTGCAGGAGATAATGGTTTAGTACTGAATACCTTACCCGGATCTGCAAGTCACTGAGGTCAAGGCATCTGCACATTTCCAGGAAGAGCTTGACACCTTCCTCATCCAGGATGATATAGACGGGGATCCAGCGCTTGTACGCTGCATCGACGATATCGCGGAAGATGTCCCGGTCCGTAAACACATCCATGACCACTGCAATAATCTGGAAACAAGAAGGTGGTAGACAGACAACTGAATAACTATTAGGAACTGAAAGGAAGGCCTTCCCCACTGGTGCAAAATAAAGGAGAGCACTGATACCAGATAATGGAGGAGAAGCCTTCATAGGGAGAACAAAGTCCAGGGAGGTACATGCCCAAGCACTACCAATAATTGTAATTTTCTGAGTTAGTTGCTGCACTTTGGAAGGAACTTAGTAAATGTCTATGAGAGTTCTACTTCTTCCAGATGAAACTGACTTATTTTAGCAGCCTGAGGAATGCCAAAGCCAAATACCTAGTTTTTCCTCTGTATTAAGAAACTTCCATTGTCTCTGTAAGGACTCACCTAAATGAAGAACACTGAAAATATATTGAAAAAAACCACTGAAAACACAACTTTAACTCTTAACCTGAAGGCATCTAATGGAAGAGTGAATGTGCAGAGGAATCAGGGCTTGCATCCTCAACCATGACGCATAGTGTAGAAAATAAGAATTCTATTTTCCTTTTTTTCCCACCAAATCCCTGTGAAAAGTCTGCTCTCAGGGCTGGCTTCTCAAGCAATGATTTATTGGGCTCAAACATAAACACCTCATATTTCTCAGAAAGGGACTGGAGTGTATTCAAGATTTGGAGGCAAAATTATCATTCCCTCTCTTCGCATGTATTGTTTTTCTGGTATAAAACTAATCCTTCTTTCCAGGCATAGATTTTACATAAACCAAAAGCTTTCACTGACGTGAGAGACAAGCCTGAACATTTATAGGATGAGTAACAACAAAACCAAGAAGGTTATGGGTAACTTTAATGCTGATCTTATAGAAAGGGAGAGAAAGACAAAACATGTATCTTTTACACCATTAGAAATACCAATTAATTTTTCTGCCTGAGTTATTCTTCTCAACATTTTAAAGGTTATCAATGGAGGAAACTACTGTTTTTCTAGTCCCTCTGCATAACATCAGCTTGCCAGGTCAGAGCTGCCATGCTCTGACAGTATCCTGGGACTAGAGCTGTCTAAATTTTAATTTCCCAGATGCTGGGAATCACAGCAATAAGCCCATCTGGGCTGGGGATGGCATATACAGGTGTGAATGGAGCTAAATACTGAATCACACTGTAGGACTTTCTTCACTTGATGCTTGGAAAAGGTGCAGCTCTCTTGCAGGAGCCCCCTAAGGAAGAGGGAATAATTCTCCCCTGAGACCTCTTTCCTGTGAAAAATGCCCTTGAACAAATGGCTTTTGGGAAAGTGGTGCCACAGTAAACATCCCCCACTGCATCTGCTGAATCTCTGCTGAGTCCCTGCTTGTACAGCCAACAACAACCAACACATCTGCTCTGTCAGGCTCCTTCTGTCAACAGTGCTTACACCAGCTTCCCTTTGTTAGAGAAAGAAAAAAGAGCTGACATTGTATTTATGCTCATCATTAACATGTAAGTTCCTGATGGAGGTGAACTATGCTGGAGCTACATCATACTAAGTCCCACAGTAACTTCTACTAGGCAGGATTTCAGGTCCTGCCTTGGTTCTCCCTTCCCAGCAGGAATATAACAGGAATGTTACCAGAATCTCTAAAAATTAAAATACAGCGAACTTGTACCACTTTGTTTCTGAACAACCCCATATACAGGCAATTAATAAATAAAGTCATGAACAGTCCATGAATTAACTCAGGCCTGTTATGCTCCCTCTCCCCCCACACACAGTGGTATGGACAAGCTATTTAGGAGAAAGGATGCCAAATAGTATGCATTTGAAGTAAGAACATCCACATAGGGAATGGACAACAGAAGCAGGAACTTCTCTCCATCCCCACCATTTGCAATGAGTGTAACAACTGCAGAAATTACACCCTATCCTGGACAAACCATTAATTGTCTGTACCAGCTTTGCAAGGGATGTGAAGGGATCCCTTTGTGAAGGGATGGCTCCCTCCAGGCTGTGGGGCCTTGGGTCAGTCCAGGCTTCTTTCCAAGACTGGGGACCATTGAGAACAGCAGTCAAAACTTGCCATGGGCAATGCCTGTTGTTGTGTTTGCCGTCTCAAACCCTTGTCACAGCTAGGAGTGTTCCCAAGCACAGCAAGTCAGAGCATGAGTGTCTACCCCTGCAAGAAGTTTTCTCCATTTCTCTTCCAATCCTATGGATAATAAACTTATCTGTAGGGCCCATAGGTGTGCCTAGCTCTTCACAGGAATTTTAAGATTGGCAAGTTAATGCTTGCTAATCTCATTGCACCTAGGTAGCTTAATTAACATATGTTTGTAAAATACTCATGATAAGCCACCCACAGACTTGTGCCACATATTACCAGTATCTGTTTAGACCCCCTCTCAGAAAAAAACAAACTCAACAGTCCCCCACTTTCATTTGCTGACTAAAAAAGCTGCTACCTGGAGTGTTTTTTGCCAGAGTGAGCTCAGCTGAACACAATAGGCATAGTTATCTATGAAAAGGACCATTAAACACTCAAATGGCTGTTAAACATGAAACCAGCTTCGGGCTGGGAGGGGCACAGTTTGTCCAGTCAGTGAAAAAATAAAAATCTACAAAGGATTTAATTATTTCTAGGTGCCAGGCACAGCTATTGAAAGAAACAAACTTTCCCAGTTCTTGAACAGTCTCTAGAAACCTTTGTAGCAGTGCAAGGAGGAGGTGAAGTTGCACTACATCAGAGTGTAAGGAGTTTACAGCTTCTAAGTGACTGATCACACCAGTCACTGAACAGAATTACAGGGTGTGCACAATTTCTCAGAGCAGGGAGCTAAGAAGATCACCCACTAGATTAATGCCTCTCTGGAAAGTTTTCTGTGTTTCCCGGCAGATTCGGTTTGAACAAGTCTGTAAAAGTGGTGCATATAGTGTGTGCTGGCCGTGGGGAACAGGTGGAGGAGGAAATGACTGCTGAATTATAAAGCAGAAATACCAGAAAGCTGCAAAACTAAGCACAGGAATGAAGTTTCTTACGCTGCTCTCCCCTTTACCTAAGGGGTGTGTCAGCTCTGACGGAGATCTTCTCCTGGGTGGTCTTCCCCGGGAACTTCACCCACATCTGGGGTGGGTGACGAAAAACCTCGTGATTGCCCCACCTGTTCAAAGCAAGCTCTTGAAGCATCATGGCTGGTTTGCTTCCTTGCCAGAGGTGCCCTGTCACCACCAGCAGTCATTTCCAGGGAAAGATAAATGGGAGGAGCAGCCTCATATTGTCTGTACTTTGTCTACTTGCAGCCCGGGTGTTGAGGCCACAAAAAATAAACCCAAAAAACACCATCCCATAACGAACACGCTGCCCTGTCTTTAACTAGGGACACCTGCACACTCCAGGCAGGGGTGGCTGTAACAGCAGTTCACGACCTGTGAACCCGGGAATGAGGCCGGGACAGGACAAGGTGAACCACAGGTACAGAACCCCACCTGAGGGGAGGTGGAGAGGGTGTGAAGATGTTTCACCCCATCACAGGCATCAGCTTCGGCAAAGCGTAACACGACTGGCAACGAGGCGCAGGGAAAGCCCTGCCTGATGGACGCCGACCATTACATGGCCAGAGCGAGGGCTCTCGCCCGCCTTGCACCCCACGCCCCGAGCTAGACCCTCGGCCCGGCTGAGGGCGGCAGGGCTGGCCCGGCCCGTCGAGGGCCGCTCCGTACCTTCTGCGCCTGCTGGATCATGTCCCGCACCACCTCCTTCAGGTGCGGCGCGCTCTCCTCCTTGCGCGGGTGCGTGAAGAGGGACACCCGGCTGATGCCCCGGTAGAACGTCTTGTCGGTCCAGCCCAAGTCCAGCGGGGGCACCTCGGTGTCCGAGCACTCGGGCCAGTAGGCCAGCGAGAGGGTCTCGCCGCCGGGCCCCCGCGCCACCTTGCCGCCCTCCCGGGGGTCGTCGTAGCCCCGCCAGCCGCCCCTCAGGTCCTGTAGCTCCCGGCCGGAGAGGAAATCGCGGAGCTGCTCCTTCCTCAGCGCCTCCCGGTACGCGGCCTCGCCGCGGGTCACCAGCGCCTCCAGGGCTCGGCGCTGCTCCTCGCTGTAGTAGAAGCGGGCCTGGGCCTCCGTCACCTTCTCGTTGACGTGCAGCTCGTCCAGCAGCAGCACCTGGGACTCCGCCATGCCGCCGGCAGCCCCAGCGCAGCGCCGGCCGGGAGCGAGGGCAGGAGGCTGCGGCAGGAGCTCGGAGAGGCAGGGCCGGGACCGCCTCACCTGGCTTGCTCGAGCCCGCCCCGACGGGTGGGGCGGCCGCTCCCCCGGGCCCCGGGGACACGGCTGTCCCTGCCGCCCGGCCCCTCTGCCAGGCTCCTGCGTGGCCCCCGGGGACGGGGCACGAGTTGCGGGGAGGACAATTTCTGTGAAAAGGAGAACAACCTGAGCTAAGAGATGCGGGATGCGATGTAAGATAAAGAGCCAGGTTATGTGGCGGCCTAAACCAGCTTCGGGGGATGCAGGATAGAAATCTTTAACTAACTTGTGAAATTGTATGCTAAGAGAGAACTTGGTGCATTGAAATGGGGAAACCGCACCTCCAAGGGAAGACCCTCACCCATTGAACACATGAATTTGGAGTACCCTGTGCCTTTAAACCGAGGTGGGGAAAGAGAAGGCAATAGTAGCTGAGCCAGGTAGTGATGTAGATTCATTATGCAAATATTGCCTGAATAGGATTGTATAAATATGCTTGCATATGTATGCATTGTGTATGTAAGTATAAATACACTTCCTTGCTTTGTGGATTTACCACTTTGCACCCATCTCTGTGCAGACATGAAATAAAATAGAGTATCTCAACCCTGTGTGTGGATCAGCTTCCCCACTGGGTGAAAGAAGCCAGATTTAGGACAACATCCTGGCATGGCTAGCATCAGTGTCCTGACGGCAGTCCTTGGAGGAGAACTAGGCCTGGCCCCCAGGTGCATTTTGGGGTGCAAATGCAAAAGTCTATTTAAGACTTTTTACCCCCCTTTTTCAAACTTGGAAGCTACCTGAGGGATGCTCATGAGGAAGAGGGGGACACAACTGGGCCAGGGAGGTGGGCAGTGCACCATGGTGGCCACAGGCAGTGGCCTGTTGGCTCCAGAGAGCTGGTAGCCAGCCCTCTCTGAATCCTCTGGCAGCTCAGCGACTCCAGAAAAGCAAGGGGTGTGGGGTAGCCAGCTTACAGAGGGGAAGATGACAGAGTGATGTGCCAGAGGCTGTCCAGCAGGCTGGTGTCAGAGCTGGGAGTAAAACAGACTATGAATAAATAGCCACACCCATCCCACCGGAGACTGGGGGCTGTAATGTTAAAGTACGATTTTTGCGAGGTATGTGATCGTTTCTAGGGGCCCTAATCAAGATTCCGGCCCCACTGCGGATTGCACACAAAGGATAAAGAGCAGAGCTTCCCCACTGCAGTCCAGGGACAGAGCTGGCAAGGCATGAGCAAGGAAACAAGGACAAAGTCAAAGGCAGTGGTGAAATACAAACAAAGTCAAAGGCAGTGGTGAAATACAAACATTCAGAGGCATTTACAGCGCTTTACATCTGTGATTATCCCCTAAGTGCTCACATGCAGAAAAACTATAAGGGACAGAGCTTCTGAAGCTGCTCTTTGTTTCCTCTCTCTAAGTAATCACCTGCCCTCAGTGTGAGTTAGTTTAAAAAAACAAGGATCAGGTGGGCCACCACAGCTCATCCTGTGCTGTTCCACTCCTTTAGGTAAAAGAGATACTTTTAGTATTCCAGACTGTCTTCCATAGCTTTTCCTAGCATGAAATTCACTTAAAATTTGAAATTACACTTTGCAAAGGTCTACTCCTCTGCCTATCAAGTCTCCTTTAAAAATTAATTTCCATGTAAGTTCTTTTAGCCTTATTTCTGATGGAAATGAGACTTACATGGTCATGGTGTCTGCGCCTGTCTGCCTGTCTGTCCATGTCTCTAATAAACTTTTGAGCCCACTGTCTGATTTCAAACAAGTTTGGCAGAAGTGTAATTACATCCCTACAGATTTATGAAAAATAACAGGCCTGATAGCAAAAAGAGACTCTATCACAGTCCCTAACAGTGCAAGTTACAATGTGGGTTCATGCCTTATTAGATTTCAGATATTCCATAAAATTGAGAATGCTAATAAGTGCTTGATCTGGAGGAAGAGCTTCAAATTAATTTTTTTCCATCTTAGACACCATGGTCAATCAGCCACAATATACAAATATACAGGAGATGTGACTTTCTTAGTTCCAATCCTCACTAAATTACTTGTTGGTTGTATTTTTATTTTCTGTACCAGAGGCTGCCATCAGCTCTGCTATTTCATGTGGGGCGAAATAAAATCTCTTTAATCCTGGATGCTCTGTTCATTTGTAGCTGCACAATGTAGTCTTTTGTGTTCACCTAAGGCTCCCACATGAAAGCAACAGTAGGTTCACAAATATATGTATAGTTTTGTATTTAAAAGCAAGCGAGTATTTCCCACATCCAAGTAAAGGCAGCAGAGATTATTTTCACTTTGTTGTGATGAAATGTTTAGTCCCCACCTCTCACTCTAGAAGACAAAATGTTGTTTGTGTGTTGATAGAATAAACAGGGGCAAGGAGCTTTGCAGAAGGTGAGAGAGACCCCTTCCCAAAGCAAGTACATGTCCCATGGCATCCTCACTCCCCATTCTCACATCAGTACATTCCAACCAAGTCTTTTCCTGATCTGGAGTTTTTATAAGGCCAGATGATTCAGTTCTTTTTGATTTCCCTGATCCTCCTGCTGACAGCCTCACCTCAGAGGAGTGGAAAGAGCTGTGCAAACAAACTGCCCTCCCTACCACAGAGTCAATCCAACCCTTCAGGACTGGAGAAGAAACTTGTCAGGCAGAGTGGGGAAAAGACTTGCACCTGGCCCTGCCCCTCTGGGATCAAGGAGTGAATTCCAGTTTCCATTCCAAAAGAGAGTCATTATTGTTTGGGCATAGGTTTTCCTCTCTGCCCTTAGCATTGGCTCAAGAGAAACAGGAAAAGGGAAGGCTGATTCTGAATTGTGCTGAGGCAGCTGCAAACCCACAGAGAACTATGCTGTCTGTCGCTGGGTTTGTTTTGTTCCTGGGATTACCTGCTGGAGGGGCTGCGTGTGCACGGCAGGGTTGGCTCTCTTTACTTTTCACCTCTCTATGGGTGTTGTCCCAGGCCAAGGCCTGCTTAAGGCCTTGCTTACTCTCTGGTCCGGTTCCAGAATGTTTTCCAAAGGATGTAAACTAACCTATCAGGAAATATTACCTCTTGTTGTAACCCTCCCCCAACCCTATTACAGTGTTTTAAATCTGTCTTCAAACACCTCCCACGGATAATCTGGTTATTTGGGCCTAATTGCTTAACTTTCCTTTGCGAGGCAGTGCAGGCTGTGCATTAGATAAAGATATGACACCTTATATTTAGCATTAATTGTGACTGCACACATCTCTCTTGCCAGTCCTTCCTATGTAATTTCAGTCCCTAAATAGCCCACCTCATGATACATTCTTTGATAAATTTCCCAGCAGTGTTTCTCGTGTGGCATAAACTGCTACAAGCTCTCATAATAAACCTTTGAGTGCTCGGCTCTTTAGGAACAAAATCCTGATGCTTTCCCTCTCACCTACATCTTATTTTGCTGAAAAACAGTTACCACCTACATGCAAAAGAGGAGTAAAAACAGGGGCAGATATTAAAATACATATCATTTTGTGATACAGTGCTCAAAAGCTGTATAGTAGAAGTCTTTTTGTGAAGAGTGGTATCCTCCAAAAAATACCAATACGATTTACCAAAATGTCTCTGATTCAACCATACTACCTTTTAGGTTGTTTTTTGTTTTGATTTGATTTGTTCTTTGGTTTTGGTTTTTTTTTTTTCATAAAAAGCAGCATCTGCTTAAAAATTAGTTGTGCAAAGACAGCTAATTGTTTACGTGATGGAGATTACAAGAGAGTGTTTTCCATTTCTCACTGTGTCAGCTGCAGGTTAGTCTGAGGTGACAGGTCTTTGCTGTCCTGAAACAGAAGAGTAAATAAATAGGCGCCTGTGCCATGGTTAATATTAAACACTATACTCCTTCCTTGTGCTGGCTGGCACCACAGCAAGACTCACAAAGGCTTGGTGGAGATTGCACCTTCTTGACTCTCTTCTCTGGATCAGCATCCAGGAGTTTGTGGGGAGACTGCTACGTGCACAGCGAGCTGTGCTCCACTTGTCCCTAGTCTGAAATCCCATTTGCAAGGGCTGCCAAGCCAGCACAGGAATGGCTGCATTAGTCATGTCCAAGTACTGGCACAGCAAAAAAAGCCCGAAACAAGGGGATTTCAGGGTGGAGAGGAAGAAGCTCCTGCCTTCCCCGTTCGCCCTCCAGCAACCCAAAGAGCTGCAGGCGGTGGCAGGCAGGTGTGTCACTTCTGCAGCAGCAGTGACAGCCTGCAATCCCGAGGATGAAGAAATGCTTTCAGAAGCTTCCTTTCTGTCACATTACACCGCCTCAGGGAGAAAACCTAGCTGCTGAACTGGAGAATTGCCGCAAATGAGTCGAGTCGAGAGCTTCTGGCCTCCCACTCACATGTTTCCATGTGAGAGTAAATAGGTAAGAGAGTCCTCTGAAGAGAGCAGAAAGGAACAACTGCGTTCACAGGCTCATGTCTTGCAGCGAGGTATTTGCTGACTGAGCACGCACAGAAAGACCTTTAGCTGTTTTCTCTGTCTGCTTCTCTTCACGGGACAGCACTTTTTAAGCAGTTTCCTGTAAGAAATAGTGCTGACCCTGGTCTCTTGCTCTTTCAACACCCATACAGGCAGGGATTCAAACTGAGTGCAATTCAGCTGAGCTACCCTGAGGGGCCTTGGCCAAGTCATCTGCTGTGCCTCAGTTCCCATTCTCTAAAATTAGGAAAATACTACTCTACTTCACAGGGCTGGTATAGAGAAGAGCTAAAAAATGAAACCTCAAACCAACGTCACCTGCATTTTCTTTGGTTTCCCCTGCAGGAGGTGGGGGGAAGAAATTAAGAAATAGAGCTGTAGAGTCCCTTTGCAGATGAGCCAAATCCTGAATGGAAGCTCTGGCTAAAGAAAACAGCAAGGAACCAGCAATGCAGCCTCTGAATAAGATGCTTAATTGCAGCTATAATTATGTAGCACTCAAATCACGGTGTGCTTTATAGACAAAGGAACACCAGGAATGGGGACACTGAAAAATTAAGACAACAACAAGTCTGCAGCATTGTGCACTTATTT